GTTATTGGGTAAGTTTACTATAACTCAAAGGTCTCTAATAGGAAAGCAGGATTTACAGTCAGATTTTAAGATACTATATTCTGACTTGGAAGATAGAAGAAAGGACCAGAAAACAAAGGGCATACAAGCAGCCCTTAGAAGCTGAATAGGAAATGGGGTTCTTCCCACAGAGCCTCCCAGGAGCAACAGAGTCACACAAATGTGATTGTAGCTATGAGCATGGTGACTTTCACCACTTGAAGATGTTAAGTCTCTGATCTGGGTTTGAGGTAAATTATTAAAGCAGCAATTTTCAATTTCTATAGTATACTCTTTACACAATACATACAGAGTCTGTAATATGAAGCTCTGACCTTGAAAAGCCAAGACTATCAAATTGAAAAGTTTCTATGTCAATCTCTCCCTGGATTTAGCAGCCTCTAAAGCTGAGTATGGCTCTTTCCCCAGCCTTTCCATGGGCTGCTACAGATTTACTGTTCTGGATTCAACATCGCTGTCAGGAAATAAAGAACAGAAGCCCAGAGCCACTTTCCAAAGTCGTAAACTTCGAGATTGCATGCGCCCCATTCCACCCAGATAGTCTCATTTAGAATCAAGACACTTGCTTTCCAGGACAAAAGGCTGTACTGCCCAGTCAGCACCAAGACAGAGATGCTACTGGGCTAATGGGAGGGAGGAAGAATGGATTCCCCTCCTGAGGGTATAAAGTAAGAAAAGGTGACTAATGAATGTCTGGCAGGAGAGCCTCATTTAGTCATTTAATTCTATGTGTGTAAGCAACATCTGTGAGGAATCGCCTTTCCTCTCGGCTTACAGACGTTTATAACCATCCCAGAAGATGGTACCAACACATCATGATGAAGTGAGTGGGCAAACTCTAACTGCTGGCTGCAGAAAAATCTATAAAGAGCCCAAAGGTCACCAGTCTAGTCCCCAGCCCCAGAGTATGAGACCCTCTATGTTCTTGCTGCCGTATGCTGGGCCTGTCCCCTGCAGTGACGAGAACTGATTCCTATGATAGTCCAGTCCATATCTGGAATGATTACTTTCTGACAGTATTCCGATTTTGTAGTAATCTTTTTTTATTGGCGCCACTTGGTCCTCGCATTGTTTTCTCCTAAGTCTGAACCAGGGGTTTGACTACAGGTGAATAGTAGAAGTCGCTGACAGGTTTTGAAGCATTGGATGCATAGAATACCTGGAGCAGTGAGATCGGAGACTATACACCAGGATACTGAAAACTCCTCACAAGAAGCCAGAATTGAGGATTTCTGGCTTGCATCTACTCTTCATAGTTACAAAATCCTGACCTGAACTGAATGTTGTCTTCCTCAGTTGTGGCTGTCAACTATTTCTTTAGATTGGAAAGAACAAATCAATTTGAAGATATAAGGGGCCTCGGGAAAGGAACCCATAGAAACATAGAAAGCACTCAAAGAAGATTTGGTGGCTCAAAGCAGTAGAGGGAGGACTTGATTTCTTCCACAATTAAATTAGCCTTTTTAAAAGTAGACAAATTTGATGTCATCAAAGGCATATTTACAAACTTTTGTTATTCAAATGCCATTGGAAAAAAAAAGCAAAGAGACAACCACCAAAAAGGCAAAATACTTACAAGCCATCTATCTGATAAGGGTCTGGTATTCAGGATATGCCTGAAACTACCGTCATTCAGTAATGAAACATAATGCAAGACATACAAGAAGGTCTGGGAATTTGGCTCCATTAGTACAGTGATTACTTGCCTTGCATGTATAAAAGCCCAGGTTCAATACCCAGCACCAGCTATGGTGGCTCACCCATGCAATTCTGACATGTGGGAGGTGGACACAGGAGGATCAACTACATGACAGTATATCTCTAGATAGACAGATAGATAACATAGGTGAAATAAAAAACAAATAAGAGACTTAAACAGATATTTTTCTAAAATAGATGTATAAAAATATAGTCTGCTTTTCTTCCAATATCTAATCAACCATACATATTGATACTTTAATACCATGACATTTTTTTGATTTTTATAAACTTTACTAACATTTTTGCTTCAATTTTAAATTGCTCATATTCAGAAAGCACTAGACTCGCGGGGCAGCTGGCTGTTTAGGTAAATCCTACTAGATACATCCTCTGATTCTGAGGCTTTGGGGAATGGTGATGGCTCTGCAATATTTATTTGTTTATTTATTTATTTATTTATTTAGAATACTTTATTGGGGAATGCGGGTAGCTGTAAATGGGTCTGGACTGTTTAAAATATGACCTTGATCCTCATTTACAGCAATGGCTTTAGTCATCCTTCCCAAGAAGATGAGCAAAAGAGTCTTCTGGTTAAGGAGCCAATGAAGCTGTTAACTGGTAATTAGAGCGTCAATTACAAGATTAACTGAAAAGAACTGAGTTCATGCTAAGCCCTGGACCAGACCAGAATACTTAACATTAGGAAAGAAAGGTGGTCACTCTGCTGTAATGACCTGGCTCTTTCAGCACTATGGACAAGGAACAACCTGAAAGGAGCATGATTATGTTCATATTAGGACCTGGTTGAGTTCAGGACACAGAAATTGCATGGACAAAACGAGTTACAACAACAAACATTGCCCAGCCTTTGGAAGCTTCATTTAGCTGTCAGTTTGACACTATACTCAACAAAAGGCCCCACGTAAAGTAGAGACTCGCAGGGAACAAAGGAGATGTTAACCAAAGAAAGCAAGTTTCTAGCTTACAAATGAGTAGGCTCTAGACACTTGTGCCCAGTGAAATGACTACAACTAATGGGTATGTTTGCTTGAAATCTGAAAATCACAGTCTTAATGAGAGAGAGAGAGAGAAAGAAAGAGAGAGAGCTGACAATGGGTGTCTTAAACAACTTGATTGTCATAAGCCTTTTACAAAATATGTGAGTCAAAACATCCTGTTCTGTGCTGTCTGAGTTAGGGTTCCTATTGCTATGAAGAGACACCATGACCATGGCAACTCTTAGAAAGGAAAACATTTCATAGGAGTGGCTTACATTTTTAGAGGTTTAGTCCATTATCATGGCAGGTCATGGCAGCATGCAGGCAGACATGATGCTGGAGAAGGATCTAAGAGTTCTACATCTTGATTCACAGGCAACAGGAAGTAGACTGTCACCCTGGGTGTAGCTTGAGCATAGAAGACCACCCCCACAGTGTTACACTTCTTCCAACAAAGCCACACCTAACGGTGCCACTTCCTTTTGGAGCCATTTTCTTTGAAACCTCCACATATGCTTTAAATAAATACCATCTGAATTTGTCAATTGCATTTGGGCAAATCCACAGCATCTTTTCTAGTTGACTGCATAGTCTTCTGGATCTGTTTCCAGTCTTCTCATCAACTGGCCTGGCCTATGTTCTCCTCTCTATGTTTTGAGTAGGACTCCAACCTCTTCCTACAATAGCTCTGATTATTCACTTCAGCTTTGCCTCTTATCATCTCCAGTACCTACACTTCTCAGCTTATCATTTCTCCAAGAACCTCGCCCCACAACCAAAGCCCAGCTTCATGTGGTTTAAGGAGGAGCACTGTCTGCTAACATGTCTCACCATCCACTGTACTGATGATGCTGACTGATGCCCTTGACCAGCAGGGTGTAGGGCCTTTGTTTGCTGCTCTTCCTTCCTTCCTTCCTTCTTTCCTTCCTTCCTTCCTTCCTTTCTCCCTCCCTCCCTCCCTCCCTTCCTGTTTTCCTTCCTTTCGCTCTCTCTTTATTTTTTTCATGTCCTACTTTGGATATATGTGCTTGGACATTCTACACTTTACACTTGGCCACACTGTATCATATTTCCCATCAATCCTTGTCTTACAGGATAAATGAAGGAATACAAAGTGGGTCTCTTCTCACATGCCAATTCTAACTGATTATTAATTGGATGCAGCAAGTGGGGTGTTAAGAAGAATAGCAGTGGATGCTAGTAGCATGTAATACTCAATTAATCATGCCTGTCTCTGTGAAGATGTGTGTAGGGTCTTTTCTGAGCAATGAATGGAGAATGTCCCCAGTAGGCATATATGTTTGAGGACCTGGTCTCCAGTTGGTGCTGTATGGAGTTATTAGGGGGTGGCTCCTTCCTGGATGAAGCATATCACCGGGGTGGGCTTTGAGGGTTTGCTAGACTGGCCCGTTCCCTGTTTCTCTCTGTGTCTTCTGTGTGGGATGGAATGTGACCATTGTGCTTTCTGAATGGCAGGCTAACCTTATGTTTCTGGTGCAAGTCCTGCTCTCACATGAATGAACTAGAGTCCCTCTGAAGTGTGAGTCAAAACTAAACCTTTTTTTCCCCTCAAAAGTAGCTTTTGTCTGGGTGTTTCATGACAACATATAAGTGAGCGGAACAGTCACAACTTTGAGGAGATGGCCATCTTTGGAGAGGTCATTCCTTCTTCTTCTTTTTTCCCCGGGGCTAATACTCAGACTGCAAATGCTTGAACAAGTCTTTTCTTTCTTCTCCCAAACTCCCAGTATTTTAGCTACGGTACTTCTTTTAGGAAACACAATGACCTTTTCAATTCATGTTTGCTTTAGATTATCTGCAACCCAGAACTGGGGGATTGTGGGTAATGTTTCTTCCTCAAATAGAAAATACACTACCAAAGTCTTCAGGAAAAAAAAAAACTCTATTTTGTGGCTGCAGCTTGGAAATTGAGTGAAAAATTGAATATAAACTTTCTAATCTAGGTTGGAAAGCATAGCTTCTAGATTGAGTGCCCCCCCACTATTAAAGAGTTTAATTCCCCATGACTGTTGCTTGCCTTTTGTTGTGTGTTGTCTCTAGTCACTGGTCTGTCGGGACAAAATACTGTCTTTATTCTGAGTTGAAATACGAATATCCAAACTGTGAGATCTCCCTCCAGAGCTGAATTCCCATTCACCACATAAAAATCAGGACCCCACATACCAAATCCAATACCATGTCCTATGGCACTTGATATTCCTGCAACTGTCATTGTCATGAAGAAGCTCCGACTTAACTTACCTTGTAGTGGAAGAGGAAGAGTCCACAGAACAGACTGTACAGATCTGCTGTGAGCAGAGAAAGGTTGACGGAGGTGGCGCTCGTTTTCTTTATGACGACTGGCATAAAGCTGTAGAGGCCAAACATGCAGGCACTAAATCCGACATAGAGCAGTCCTGGGAAGCAAAGAACAGACGTGTCAGGGACTCCACAGGGCATCTTCAACATCTGGACTTGGAGGACGGGGCACATCATCCATGACTGGTTATAGGTAGTTATTTTCTTCCACTGCATTGTGTGGTGTTTGATATTGACTAGTACACAGATAAAAATCTAAAATAGAGACTTAAAAGCTGTGTGTGGAAAATGCACATTCCCCTTGCCATGTAGCTGACAGCCTGCTGCTTCCAGAAAAGCTTCTTGGTGGCAATATGCAGAGATTTCCAAAGTCTACCCCAGTTTGCTGTAACTGGTGTCAGTTTTAAGATTCCCTTCCTCCTGGTGTGTGTGTGTGTGTGTGTGTGTGTGTGTGTGTGTGTGTGTGTGTGTGTGTGTGTGAGTTTGAGGAAGTCAGAAGAAGCATCAGACCATCTAGAGCTGGAGTTGAAGGCCATTGTAAGACCCCACAACGTGGCTGGAGAGAACCAAACTCAGGTCCTCTGCAAGAACAGCCACATTCCTTTAGCTGTTCGGCCATCTCTCATGGCCTGTCCATGTATTTCAAAACAGTTTTAGCCTCTTAGGTTTTATTTGCAAAACAGAAATGAAATACACTATGTACTTCTCTCAATGGTAAACTACACAGTACTAAAATTAGAGACCTGAGCTTGGACTATCAAACTGAAGACTTAAACTGTGTCTTTGGACAGGCAATGGGATTGCTTTAAACACAGGGAATCTATTCTTTAAAATTAATGAATTCTGTTGATCTCTACCCCAAGGAAATTCAGAATTAGCCTTCTGTCAGCTTTCCTAGGTTATTATGGACTCTAGACACAGTACTGTTGATAATAATTCTGTGAGTACAGGGTTTGGATTGTATATAGCAGTGTTCCATAGGTGATTATAGGGTCAATCATTTCCCAGACACTGAGGTGATACATATGCACAAAAACAATGCTCATTTCTCTGCTTGTTCTCTGAAAGAACAAGACACAATATCATTCTATGACTCTCTGCATATCATAAGTATCCTCTCCAATGGAATCTTGGATTTAGGGTGTCTGGTGTAGAATGTGAGCACTTTGAATCCCGTGAGTTCAGGGGACTTGGTCACTATTAGATGTCCAGGTCCTCTGATTAAGACTAGTGATTCCTCCATTGCTTTGCTCCTAGGAAGTATATAAAGAGCACAGAGTGTATTCTATATTCCTGATCCTAAGTTTAAGAAAGCTATATCAGATACATATAAAAAGCATCATGAATATTAAGCAAACAGTACAACAGCCCCCTCTAGTGTGGTGGACATGCCCTCCACACCAAGCAAGATGATGTCCCTGCTTCTGGGTTCAGTAAGCTAGGAGACCTCTTTGTATGTATATAGTCTTCCAAAACACTAGTACATGGTGTGCAACTCTCCATCAGAAATTTTAATTGCATGAAAATTGTCGATTTCCTTTCATTTGAGTTTCATGTTACTTATAATTGACTTTCCTTTTAACCAGCTCAGAAAAAAATATATATAACAAATACTGGATAACCTATGACTAATACATAAAAGACTGATAAGTCATTCAGACTCCCATAAGAAATCTGCCATTAACAGACTAGGAACACGTTCTGTTCTTAAATCATTCTACTAAAGATAATCAGATTTGGGTAGAACATAGTCCAGACACACCAGAGCGAACCCTCCCTCCCTCCCTCTTTCCCTCCCTCTTTCCCTTCCTTCCTTCCTTCCTTCCTAACCCTCGATCTCATTTCCTCCATCTCATTCCCACAGTGACCTGTGGGCTCTGATGCTTTGTATTCACTCTTCCTTTTCAACTTTTTTTATTAATTTTACATACCAACCACAGTTCCTCCTTCCTCCCCTCCTCTCCCTCTCCCCATCTCCCCCCAACCCACCCCATTCACTTCTCAGAAGGGGTAAGGCCTCCCAAGGGGAGTCAACAAAGCCTGGCACATTCGGTTGAGGCAAAACCAAATCCCTCCTCCCTGCATTAAGGCTGAGCAAGGCGACCCACTATAAGGAATAGGTTCCAAAAAGTCAGCTCATGCACTAGGGATAGATGCTGGTTCCAATGCCAGGGGTCCCACAAACAGACCAGGCTACAAAACTTTTGCCCACACACAGAGGGCCTGGTTCAGTCCCAGATGTCAGCCTAGAGTCTGTGGGCTCCCACAAGTTCGGGTCAACTGTCTCTGTGGGTGTCTCTGTCATGATCTTGGCCACTCCCTTGCTCATATAATCTCTTCTCCTTCTCTTCAACTGGACTCCCATAGCTCAGCCTGGTACTTGGATGTGAATCTGTGCATCTACTTCCATCAGTTACTGGATGTAGGTTCTGTGATGACAATTAGGGTAGTCTGATTACAGGAGAAGGCCAGGTGATGATTGAGCACCATCACCACTATTGCTAGGGGTCTTAGCTGGGGTCATCCTTGTGGATTCCTGGGAATTTCCCTAACACCAAGTTTCTCCCTAGCCTGTAATGGCTCCCTCTACTGACATATCTCCTCCCTTGTTCTCTCACCCCATCCCTCCCCCAACTCTACCTTTTCCTACTAGTTTTTCATCAAGAATCTAGTGTAGCATGGGTTCTCTGCTTGGCTAGCAATCCAGTGGAATGTGGGACAGACCAGAAGCTTGGAGCCTCTTGGAAAGAATGGCCAGGGCTTACTTTAAGAAGGATCCTCAGCTAAGTCTGCTCTGCTGAGGTGGGATTTACTTTGAATTCAAGGGGATGGGAGGAGGCAGAGATGTTCTCATGAAAAGATTCTCAGTCTGGGAAAGTTATGGCTTGTTCTAGGGGCTTCCAGAGGCCAGAATGATGGAGTAATGAGGATGAGGTAGAGGAACTAGGGAGGCTATAGATCATGCAGAGCCCCACATGTCCTAGAAAGAAATTTCCAACTGCACTAGGAATCCCCTGAGCAGTCTGCACCAGTGATCTAACACAATCAGATCTACATCTTTAAAAGATGACTTTGGCTACTCTTTGGGGGTGGAAAGAAATGAGGACAACATGAAAAGGGAGCTTCGAGAGTTGTGTCTGATCAGGCAGAAAAGTACGGTGGCTCACATGGGGAACAAAAGGGAAGTGGCTGGGTTTAAGTTAACCCGTTGATGGCTTGAAGTTAAGCTGTGGTGGAAAAGGGGGGCATCAAGGAAGCTGCTATCTCTCTACTGTAGCAAATGGGTGAATCGTGGTGCTATTTACTGAGATGGAGAGAGCAATGAGAGGTCAGGTTTTCAGTGGAAGCAAAACAACACTTGAACGTGATGGTTTAGATAATCGTTCACCGCGCATGTAGACTAGTCTAGTAGAGTTCTGGATATGTCATGAGCAGGCTCAGAGAAGAGGCAGAACTCTAAAAGCTACATTTGCTGACCCAAGTAGAGTAGGAACACAGCTACGTAACAGATCATCACTCTAGTAATCTGGCCAACTCAGGATGATTCCAGTGTAAACATTCTATGTGTATTTTATGATGTTGCTGAAGTTAGATGTGGGTGACATACACCACCACAGCTGATTGCTTCTACTAATCCAGCAAGGGCTTTTGTGTGTGGATACCCTATTTTGTGAGGGAAGCAGACAGTCAAATGGGCACATGATTACACAGAGCAGGGATGAAGTATTGCCACATCTTGCCCATCTGCTGTTCTGAGGTAGACATTAGGTAGTTAATGGACATTAGCAGTTCACCTCAAGACCCAATTTGATGTGCAATCAATAGACACGATCAAGTAAATGAGCTATTTTTGGCTAGCAAATGTATAATGATTGTATTAAGTACCTTTACAGACAGAGCATGTATATAACCATTTCTTATTTGAAATGTATTTTCTCACTAAGAGTTTGGTTTCTCTTGTTGTCCTCATGCTCTAAAGAGACTTAAGGTGGAGAAACTGAAAATAACACTACTGGCTTATCCTGACGGGGGCTTTAGTATGTCATGGATAGTATATGCATTAGCTAATCTCAAAAGCAATGCAATAGAATTGCTGTTGCTACCATAGATAGGAGACGGACTTATGGATTATATTGATCAAGAAACACTGCCCAACCAGATAGAACAGAGGAAATGTAATAGAATACCTGCTACAAACATATTCGAGTCGGTGACAGGGGAAACAGAGATGGAGAGGCAACTAGAGGCTAGCAACGGCTACAAATTATACCCATGAAGTAGAGAAATAAAGGCAGAAGTTGTATTACCCAAGGTCAGAAAGTAGGGGCGTGCCACAGAGGCAGATCACAAGGGACTCGGCTGTTCTGGAGACCTGACCACCAACAGTATGGGATATGGAAAAACACCTGCTTTTCTTCTTCATCTCTCCTCATCTCCTGCTACTTCCCCTCACTGACCACACCTGCCCAGTCTGGGAAGGATCATTTGTATGCATAGAACAGTGCTAGGGGAAGACGTCCATCTGTAAGAAACAGGTCAAGGACACTGATGGGACGTCCTGTTAGACAGATGACTATTTCATCTTGTGTATGGGTGTGTGTGTGTGTGCGTGCGTGCGTGTATGTGTGTGTGTACATAGTGTGTGTGTATGGGTGTGTGTGTGTGTACATAGTGTGTGTGTGCGTGCATGGGTGTGTGCGTGTGTGTATGGGTGTGTGTGTGCGCGCGTGTGTGTACATAGTGTGTGTCTGTGCCACAGGAATTTTATCTCTTTTCCTTTGACACCCTACTGAAGTTCTGTCTTCCCTTTGTATGCACTAGACTAAGACGTTTTTATTAATAATTACAAGATAAAAATGACTTCTCAGAATATATGCACCAGGTCAAACATATCAAGAGCACTGAGCTGCCCTGATCTGCTAAGACAATGCAAATTTGTTCTACCACAGGAATCTCAAAGCCTGGTCACGTCACCTCAGAAACGCCAGTGTAAGTTTCACCCTTGTACATTCTGTTGGGTGCCTCTGTGTACAATCTCTCTCTCTCTCTCTCTCTCTCTCTCTCTCTCTCTCTCTCTCTCTCTCTCTCTCTGTGTGTGTGTGTGTGTGTGTGTGTGTGTGTGTGTGTGTGTGTAGATCAAAGGTTAATATCAAGCGTCTTCCCAATCATTCTCCAGTTGCTTTTTTGAGACAGGAAGTCTTGAGGAACTCAGTGTTCCAAGTTTAACTAGACTAGCCGGGCAGTAAGGCCTGGGATCTACTTGTGTCTGCCTCTCCAGTGTTGACATTATAGATGCACTCAACCATGTCATGTCTGGCTTTGTACCTGAGTTCTGCAGATCTGACTTGAGGTCCTCATACTTTTTAGCCATCACACTACCTGCCGAGCCTCCTCCCAGCAACCCTGAAGGCATTCTTAAGGGGTTCCCTGCTCTGTGACCGCATGATCCCATTGCCAGGTGGGGTAACAAGACAGTCATCAGCTATGACATCAAACAACCCACCCCATGCAAGCAAACCCGGAACATTCTTTCCTTCACATTTGACTTTGGCATCAGCTTACATTTGTCCATACGCCCATTAACACAAAATGGCACATGGGATAAAGGGAATATTTGAGTTGTTTACTAGATTTCTGGCTGTGAGCCTAATGTTCCTGTTCCGGGGTAGGGCAGTTGGGCTGTATTGAGTCCTGTGTTTTACTTGAGTGTACTGATTAGATAATCACAAGCAATCTTTCTGCTCAGTGGAGTAAAACAAAGGAATGAAAACAATGGTAACCATTATCATCTTGTTTTTAATCGCTCTATCTTGAAATTAGTCCACACACTGTACAAAAACAATAATCCATTAAAAATAATCTTCATACCCAGAAAATAAAAAGTACTTCTTTTTCTACTTACACTCTCTGCACTGATAACACAGGAGCTGCCCCAGAGATTCTGTGAAGTATATTAGAACGGTAGACAGAGAGGGGTGGGGGAAATTCCTTGACAGATCATGGTGAGTGAAGATTGTCTCTGATTATGTCATCCCTGCCCCTACCTCCCCCGCCTCACATATTACTGGAAACTCATCTTAGGTCCTTGAACATACCAGGCAAGGGCTCTACCTGTAAATTTTATTCCAGCCTCCCTAGACTCTGTTCTCTTCACCAGAGCGGCATGTGATCTTCTCCAGGACACACCCATGAAGGGCAGGGCTCTTGGCTGACCTCCTGAAGCATGGGGGGGGGTGGTGTGGAAGGAAACAGGATGTTGACCTCCCCCAGTGTGTCCCTGATCCTTTGGGACATGAACTTCAGCGGCTGCTCTGCCATTTCTCAGTTACTCAGAAGACAGTGCAGCGTTGTCTCAAGCCCCTGCTACTGTCCCTGCTGCTTCTCTTTGGTCTGACTGTGAGAACAGGGACCGTTTCTTTCGGCTGTAATTCCCTCACCTGCTCATCTAATGCTCAGTAGTTCACTGAATGTCACGTGACTACAAACTAGGCTAGGCAACCAGACCCTGTAGTCAATCAGAGCAAGTTCACAGGGACAGAGGCGACTGTGGCAAAAAGTCTCCAATTCAAGAGAACAAGTGCATCAGAAAGGGGGGAAATGAATATTGGATCCTATACCTAGGCCATTTCGGCTTCGCTTCCTACCAGGAATTAATTTGATGGCCCTGTGATGTGTTCCTTTTCCACAGTCTTCATCATCTTGAGCTGCGGGGGCTGACATCTTAATAGCAATATGAGAGTTCAGGATAAAACTACCTCGTGACGGCACATTTAACTAACACTGAATTATAACAAAGTCTCGGCGGTCGTGCACAGGACATCTCCATAATTAGAGGACAAATTCCTTTTGATTACTGCCATTACCGTCAATATCGAATTAATTTACCCTCACAGACCACGGAGGAGCGCTGTGAAGCATGTCACGTTTGAGCACCCTGGCTTCAGAGTCACACGGGCGCACGTTCGTTCTGTGGTCCCTGCAGCTGCTTTCTTCCTAGCTACTCACTTTCCCTCTTCCCTCGCCACGATCTCTACTGATTTTCACTTAATCATAATATTCCCTGTCCATACTTGAGAAACAAACTAATGCAGGACTCGGAAACAAACACAAGGGTGGGTTAATCCTTGTTTGAAGTCACCGTCTGGTCACAGAAACGTCTGCCACTCGGTCAGCCACCAGGGGGCATAATACTGGTAGTAAACCGGTCCTGGACGCGTATGGGCAAGGAGGGGCGGGGGGGGGGGGAGGATACACCGGTACTGATGTCTTTCCCAATGGAAGGAAAATACAGAAGCTGTCATGTACACCAAAGCTATGTATATTGGAGGTGGGGAGCGCAGCACCTGTGGCCCTCACCCTAATTCACATTTACTCTGCACACATATATCAAGTGCTACCCCACCTGGCCTAAACCAGTGGCTCTCAACCTTCCTAGTGCGGAGACCCTTTAATACAGTTCCTCATGCTGTGACAACCCCAACCATGAAATGTTGCTACTTCATAACTGCAATTCTGCTTCTGCTATGAATTGCAATGTAAATATCTGATATGCGACCCCAAAGGAGTCATGCCCCCCCCCCAGGCTATGAACCGCTGGCCTAAACTCAAGCCATGTTCATTGCCGGTATCAGTTCATTCAAGGCAGACTTTATGAATAAATTAAGGGGTGTTTCCGCCTAGGGCTTATAGAATGATTGCCCGTGGATCTGAAAGCCTTACCCTAAAACTTTTTTTTTTTTTTTTTAGAAGAAAGTGAGTTTAGAAACAGGTAGAATCTACGGTACTCTATGGAGTAGTCGAATACCTGTCTAGTCTTCCCAAGAGTGGTTAGAGATCAATTAACAATTTCCTGAGTGTTCCCTTCTGAAAACGTTCCGAAGAGAGGGGGTGGCCATCACATCGTTTCTTTCCATGTCTTCTGTTACCCCTTTCCCACAGTGCTGCTTTTAGTGATCACGCCAATTCTGTATTCCTCCACTGGAGAAATTTCTCTCACTTCTGTAACACTACTGCCTTGGGCCTTTCTTTTCCAGTTGGTCTTTAACCTAATACCACACTTTAGTGTCTTCCATAAAGCACCCTGACCGTGTTAGCGGCAGAAGCTCTAGCAGGAAGCTAGACGATTCGGGAAGTCCAGTCTCTTATTGCGTGAAGGGCTTCCCAACATGGCAAGGCAATTTAATGTTCTTTTGTCCCGTCATTGTAGATCCCTCCTTGTCTGCCCCATCCATCCCTTCTTACACAACTTTTCAAACGCATTTCTCAGACTTACTCACAAAAACACAATCTTGAAAAGCAGATCCCTACCTATTTGCCAATCCCAGGGCACCTTCAGCAACTCCTTGTGTTCCATGATGGCTCTGTGAAGTCAAAGGGAATGAGCAAGAGGATCACACACATTGCTTCCTTTTGCGTCTTTTACCGTATTGACATCAACATTAACGCAACCTATTGAACTTCAAAAATAAATTGGCCTCTGCAGAGGCAGCCTGTCATCTCCTCCTGAAAGGTCTTGCTAGGTGTGGCCAGCAGCAATGACGGTCTGGTGGAGTTTAAATCGTACTATCCTCAACCAAACGGGTTTCTAGGGTTTAGTTTCTTTTTGTTCATATGATTTGGGGGAAGAAAATGGCAAAGTTCAGAAAACTCTATGTTTACAGGCTTCATTTCTTCATTGAACATTCAATAGAGTAGTGATTCTCAGAGTTACATGTATCTGGCAGACATCTGGAGAGTTAAGCCACTGTCTCTGGAGCCTCCTCTGTAGACCTTTAGATTCGGGTGAACTTGGAGGGGCTCAGGGAGGCACTTAGCTGATGACTAGTTCTCTATGATGACAGTGTGGCTGGTCCAGGGACTGAACTGGAGCAGGAGGTGAGGATGGCATCATTTCAATAACTCTACCAGCAAGGGTTTGGGCCTAGTGCAATCTGATTCACCAAACAAAGACCTTATTTTGACAGTAGTAACCCTCCCCCTAGCTTCATTAACCATAACAGACCATAACCAAGCAAAAGAGCAGGAGATCTCTGGATGTATATTTTGGATGCAAGAATACTAATAATATATAAAATGAACCACTCATCTATAAAATATCAGACATGAGTAATTTACCTAAACATTCCTCCCCCTCACCCCCGTCCCCTGCACAAAGATCAATCGGCAAATTTAGGAGCTCTAAAATGCCATTACACTTTCAAAATGAACCTCAAACAAATCCTCAGTTTCCCCATTTCTGTGTGCCTCCTAGAGAGTTTGCAGTCTTTCGGGACACACAGGCTTTGAGGAATGTGCTGGGAACAACCTATATACACAATGTTTCAGATGATGCCAAAAGGTTTTCCTCAAGTAATTTCGGACAACAAACCTATACAATTACAAAGGGTTTGTTTTGTAGAAAGAAATTTCATGCAATAGCAATTGCTTATTTGGTGAAACTAGACTACTCAAATGAACTGAAATGTGTGTTCTTCACTGGTAGGAGATGGTGCTTCATTTACAACAAACTTTGAGGGACCAGATAGCATATTAAGGAGTGAGTTTTGCTCCAGTTTTGGAATTATTGACAAACTGGTGCATTTTGCTTTTTGGTATTTAAATGTTCCATGCATTTGTGGTACATTTCAATGTTCTGCCTCTATCTTTTTAAGCAAAAGAGAATGCTAAATTCTGGTATGTGAATTTGAAATGTGGTTCATTCTTCAAACACATATGCAACAAAGAATACCAATAAAGGTCAATTTTATTTTTAAGTGTTTTTCATTTTATTTTATGTATATGAGTATTTTGCCTGCATGTCTGTCTCTGTACCACATGCATGCCTGATATCCAAGGGGACCAGTAGAGGGCATCAGACATACTGGGACTGGAGTTACAGATGGTTGTGCACCTTCATATGGATGCTGAGACTAGAAGCTGGGTCCTCTGGAAGAGCAGCCAGTGGTTTTAACTACCGAGTCATCTCTCCACAAAAAGGCAGTTTTAAAGTAGACATTCCTTAACAGTTGTCACTAATAAACAAAACCTACCCCGCTTTGAAGTGCATCAAATCATGACATTTGTGCTTTGCTGATACTATCTTTGTGAATTATATCCCACTCACTGGTAGAATGGGTGCACTTCTAATTCTTCAAAATCATCTCCAGAATCAATTACATGTTTTATAATAATTTATAATACACTTACTTAGTTGGGAAATAATTTGCTAATGAGGATATAGTTTGTACATTGAATAAGATCTTTGTGCAGCAGGTTGATGATTGCTTTTCTGCCTTGGTTTTTGCACTCCAAGGGTAAAACTGGAAAAATGAAATCCACTTCTTATAGTCTTCATGTTCTTGTTTTTACTTACAATTGAATTCCACTGAAAAATGCACCAAAGAGACCAATCATTCCTAGAAACTCCACTCGGCTCAGAGTTCGGATGATGGATTCTTCCCAGACGTTAGAGATACCGTACAGTGTGGCTCCTCCCAAGACCAGGAGGTCCCCTGCCAGCTTATTGTCCCCTAGGAAACAAAGAAAGCAGAGGGAATCTCAGGGAAATCTCCCTAACAAGAATCTGGTACCAGAGAACCGAGATTCTCTTGTCTATTTTCTTCTGATACTTTTATAAGAAGCCCAGAAAATTCCAACTGGAATCAAGTAAAGGTTTTTAAAAATATGTTTTTTGACATGCTGGGATATAAAAAGCTTCCTATCTTAGTGGAACTGGAAATTTTCCTGACAAATGAAGTTTTCTTCAGCTTAATTCTCTAGGGATGTGTCTGCAAATACAAGCTAATATGTACATGTATTATTGTTGTTTAAAGGGCATATCCAGATGTTTTGTGAGTTTGTCATAAGCCCAAAAAAGTCAATTTTCAGCTCTTCAATGCATAGAGAGAAAGCATAACAGCAGTCAATACTCTTTTTGACCATTGGCAAAATGTATACATACGTAGACAAGGGGACTGACAGGATTTGTGAGATTTAATAAATTCCTTATCCTACATTTAAGCAAACTCTTCCCACTTCAGATAGTGTGGATGGAAGCCCTGGAAAGGGGATGAAAATGAGCAGTAGCAGCAGTCTCACTGGTGGACTCTCTCGCGCTCTCTCTCTCTCTCTCTCTCTCTCTCTCTCTCTCTCTCTCTCTCTCTCTCTCTGGTGTCTTCTGGCTCCGTGCATTAGGTACCAGGTAGTTGTCAGCTCTGCAGACATACAGTTTGCGGCAGAAGTGAAGGATGGCAAGAGTGTCCACTACAACAGCGCCCTTAAGGAAGAGACCCACCTTTGGAATCTGTGAATTCTGAGATTTTCTGAACGACTTTAAAAATGTGGAAGAAGGCAGTCGCCATTCTTTGGAGAGCATAGAACTTTGTCTAGGTAGAGGGTTGCCATGACTCGAAACAGGGCTGGGGTTGACTTCTGCATGTGGTCACCTCCGATTATATCTCTATGCTAAACCGCACATTACCCTCGCCTAGGCAACTTCCCACTCATGGTGGGAGGACAGTGGAAGAGACCCTGAAAGACAACAGCTTGCAGGAGTTACTCTCAAGGGGATGAAATTGAGGATGTGATTCTGGGAGGGCTGCGAGACTTCCTTGAGTCTACGAGGAGCAACCATCACTCTTCAGCAGACGAGCAGAAAACTTAATTAGGTCCTGATGAGAAAGCAGGCCTTGGGGAAGATGCCCTGGGCACCTCTGTCAGAGAAATGAAGGTTGCCATAGGAGGGAAATCTTCAGCAACTGACTAATCTCTATGTGTCAGCCACTGACGTATGAAAATCTGTGAACGCGACACAGTTAATATCCCAAATTCTCAAGCACATCATTTAGCCATTTTTTCATTCAGGAAATAGTTCAAACTCTTGTTATGACATGAAGTCATTGTTATGAATATCAATTGTTGTTGTACCAGTTAAATATAGAAGGGCTTCCTAATAGAACTCTTGGTTAATACAATTAATTTTGTATGAATGTATGAAAATGAAGTCACAGGGAAATATTTTAATTAGAGTTAGAGGAACATCCATCTATCTTATAAAAGTCCTGAAAAGTGAACCCTATTTTTTTGGTGACAAGTCTTGTGCAGCTCTTTATCTTTTAATATTTCTTTTTCTCCAAGTGCACACATAGATGTCACATCTCCAGTAGCTAGAGTTCCAGGCAGTTGTAAGATGGCAGATGTGAGTGCTATAAATCAGTCAGGTACTCTGGAAGGGCAACATGTACTCTTAAGGGCAGAGTCCCATCGACTCATTTTTTTTATAGTGATGGGCTGTCCTACAGACTGACCTACTAAACAAAATGCAGCTATCCATGCTTTAAGTCTTCATTCATTTGGTGATAATTTTTCATAATAATATAATTGCATATAACTTCTAATTCAGAAATATCTTCAAAGTTTTCATTAACAAAATATTGCATAGTGTTTATTATGGCCAGTAATTCTATTCACCAGGTTTAAGTTACTTGAAAGTAGATGTATGTGCATATAGCATGGGCTACCATTTTAGATTTTAATATTCCTGAAAGCCCACTTGTGAAGGCTTGGTTCCCAGCATATGGTGCTGTTGACAAGGAGTGACCAGGAGGTAGAACTGAAGACAGAAGTTGTCTTCTGGCCCTAAAGAGGATATTGACACCCAGTCCATCCCTCTTAGTCTCTTTCTGTTTCTTGCTTGTCTTGAACAGAACAGTTTCCCTCTGCTGTATGCTTCCACCACGATGTACTGTGCTACACCATTCTAAATTCTGAGAGTGTGGAAATTAATTATCTGACTGGAAATGTCTTAACCTCTCATATGCCAATGTTTTGAATGTTGGTAATTTTCCACTTAGGTAGAGCTGAGTAAATCATATCTGTCATGAACTACAGGGTCTTCCTTTATATTATTTTATTTATCTTACATGTTATTATTTGCAAGAATAAAATAGCATATAGAAAATGTTCATCATACTATGTCTCACTACTTATTCATAAGTGATGTTTTTAAAGGACTAATCTTCATTCTATTTGAATAACTCTCTGTCTCTATGGGTGGGACATTTTTTACTCTATATTGTTCATGGTTTCTAATCAACCCTTTCATAATTATTTTTCAAGAATTGGTTTTCCATATTATATCTTTGTTTAATCACCAGAAACATCTTTTTAAGATAGATATTTGTTCTGGGTGGCACAAGAGAAGGTTATCTAAAAATCATGAATTGTCACTAATTCAAGAATGAGTTTTACTTTTTAGAGTATTGGAAGATTGCTAGTTCTTTTGAAGGAAATGTACCCAATGCTTTAAATATATTCAAGTTTTAAATATACAACTGTCTTGTTTTCATGGGACTCCATGCTAAATTTAAAGTCTCACATCTGAGCAATACTCCATCCTGACCAATCCAGGATAGTCTTTACTCGAATTGACTGTTTTAAAGCACCTTCATATTTCCCCAAAAAAGTGTAATTATAGAAAAATAAGAATTGAGTTGAATAGAAAAATAACTGTAAAGATTTTCCATCTGGGTCACACAATTTACCTTGATTTCTGAGGATTAAACGTGAGGATTCTTTTCAGCATTATTAGGATAAAATGAGGTAATGTACAAGAAAGTATCTGGCAACAAGAGCATGGCATATTCAGCAAAAATGTCACTTCACTTTTATTTGATTCTGTTGAGCTGTCTGGTTCGTTAAAAGTATTTTCTTTTCCTTGAAATAAATATAAAGTTATAGCTAACAATAAAATATTGTCTTGGGTAACTAACATCATCACAAATAACCTAAATGATCCAATAAATATAGTAGACAAAGGCTTTTTTAGGAGAAGCAATATTTTATCATAGGGCATGATTTTAATTCTTTGTCTTCATCTTATAGCTTTCATCCTTAGTATTTACAACCACAAGTTAGAAAAGTAGAGGTCATAGTGATAAATCTCTGGGGCTTTCCTGAACCATGTTTATACACTCCACCATTTCTAATACTCCCACAATCTACTAGATATCTCCCACCACTCACATCAGCAAAGGCATGGATGGTCTTTCAGAGAGGCCTGTGATGCAAATGGGATGCTAAATGGCAAAAAAGAGAGTTTACTTATTAGGTCCAATGTTTTAATTGACCAACTTGGAAAAGAAATTTACTTTAGAAGAACTTCGTGGTGCAGGAAGTTCTTATGGTGGGTGACTAACTGTGCCCGTGATAGGCACTCCATGGGCATCAAAGTGAGGTCTCTCATGGCAGGAGCTTGGGTGCATTCCTTTGACCCCTGTCTGCAGTAGATGAACATGATGTGCAAGTTTCATCAGCACCATTATTTCAAGCACTTCATTCTGGGCCTGGACCTTTTTTTTGTATGAAATTCCTGATACTTTTTGAGAAGGTTCCTCCACCAGTCTTAAATCTGGGAGGAATTCCTGGTGTGCTGAAATGAGAACAATTAACTATAATGAGGCCAAAGTAATTGTGAGTGGGCTAAAATCTGTCAAAATCTTAAGTTCAGAGCAAACAGGGTTTAAGCAATACATATAAAAAATGAAGTCAGACATTCTCTCTTCCCCTGAAAAGCTCTTGATATGATTATAAGAATTTATACGAGTTGAATGATTTATTGAAGTTCTTGTGAGTCTCCAAAATATTACAGAAAGGTCTGGTGATCTTGGCTGATTAATGCAGTCGAACCCACTGTACTGTAAAGGTAGAAACAAGTTGGACAATTTTAGCAATAATGCATACAAACTTTAAAATTCTATTGATTCCAAAGGTAATGTGTGTTTTAAAATATCTCCTGTAATAGCTGATATTTCTACCAAACTTACAGAGATTTTACAGTATTTTACAGAGATAAAGCAGAGTAGTCAATGAGCCCCTGAATTTCACATGTGGGCTGCCCTTAAGGCATTGATCCACATGTGTGGGCACCATTTCACTAGCACAGAGCACGCTCTACAGAGATAAGATTTAATTCTGTTAACACGGGAGCATTGCATGTCACAAAAGGCAATGCTGTGAGCCTCAAGCAGATCCACAGGAAGAGCACTGACTGCATCACTTCAGTATGTTTTAGCCATGTCTGCATTTCAATTACAAGTGACTGCTAAGGAAAGGCTCTCGAATGAACTCTGCCACAGGAAGAACCCAGTTCCTAGGAGTCCTGTGTCCAACCACAGACATACTAGGTCTCCCTGAGATCCCCATCACAGAGGTAAGTGACCCGATGGCCACCCTGACACTCACCTGCTCCCTGGTGCCTTCCCACAAGCACATCAGCTCCCACCATGCAGCCCATCCCCAGGATGCAGACCACGATGCCGATGAAATGCACAGCCTTGTACCGGATCAGCAGGAAGAACCAGGAGAGTAAAATCACCACCGGGATCACAAAACAGTCCAGGAGCTATTGGGGCATCAAGGGAAACAACAGCAGGAGGTTCAGGGATGCTAGGACACAGAACAAAGTCCCACTCTGCTAGAAAGTCCTTCCCAGAACAGAGTATGGCGAGCTAAAGCAGAGGCAGTTCAGACTCGCGCAGACCCCCACACAAGACAGCTTTGTTACAAACATCCCCGGAGACTTGAAGAAAGGGAAGATGGCAAATGGATGAGGCTGGAGGGGCTGAAGGTTTTCCTGCCCTCTTCCGTGTCCAGCCAGTTTCACTGCGAGTCTTCTGAGCCGTGAAAACATTCCCTGGAACACCTGGGCCGTGGGAAGGACAGCTTGAGCCATTTTACACTGTCTGTCCCCCCACTCTAGGAGTATACAGTCAGAGAGGTCTTACAAGGTTTTGTAAATTCATAGAACCTAGAAAATGTGTCCTTACTTTTTCTCAGCAATTATCTCCCTTCTAATACTGGAAAGGCTTTATTCTAATAATTGTTGTTTCACTTCTAATGTCACCATACATATTAGTGAGACAAATAGCGTGACGAGAATCCCTGAGAGCTGGTGTGTTTGCCTTTGGTGAGGTAAAGAGAGAGCATGGCGATCTGAGAGGAATGAGAGGGATCCTGTGCTGAGAATCAGAGCCTTTGCTCTGAGGCCTTGAGCTGCCACACACTTGGGAGGCCTCTATTTCATACTAGGAAGAAAATGACCCCATCTTCCCTCCCCGGTGATCAGTGCAAAACTCAGAGTTAACGCGTCGGGAAGCATTTTTGTAGTTGGGTATAGTGGATCACACCTGTCATCCAAGGGCAGGGGAAACCGAGGCAGGCCCATCATTGAGTGTGAGGTCAACCTGAGCTACACAGTGAGACCATGTCTGAAAAACAGAGGGAAGGGCTAAAGATGTGGCTCGACCTGTTGCTTGCCCAGCATACACAAAGCCCTGGGTTCAAGCTGCAGCACACCGTGAAACAGGTCCATGGTACTGTGTGCTTCTGAGCCCAGAGGAAGCAAGGCCAGAAGTTCAAGGTCACGCTTAGATACACCCTGCGCTGGAGGTTCTTTCTCAACAACAAAATCAGTTTAATAAAAGGATATATTAAAAACTGACGTAAAAACAAGGTATTTTAAAATAAGATTCCCCCCCCCCCAAGATGTTTTAGAAGCCTCCAAATGCTTTAGCTTCCCATGCCTGGATCTGTCCCTGTCACTTTGGTAAATCTTCTGAAAATGGCTGTCCAACCTTGGGTGTCTGCACTAGCCAAACCAATGTCTCACAGGAAGGGAAGGGAAGATTTGTGATTTGCCACCCTGCTTTCACTAACCCGTGCTAGGCTCCTAAGCACCCGACTTTCATCCTGCGGCTGCCAGCACAGCGCAGGACAGGGAGGGGTCTCTGATGCTCCCCACTCCCATTGCCCAGCTCCACCTGATCAGCACAGCCTGACCCATCACTTGTAAAAGTCTTCCATCCATACTCATGCCACCCTGTGCCGCTTGTAGCATCAAGACTGAGCTGGCCTCCTTTACTACTGGGGACAAGCCCTGCCGCTAGCCCCAGAGCCTTCACTCCTGGAGGCCACCTCTGCTTCTGAAATGGTTCGCTCTAATTCTTGAGCTTCCTGCCTCCCTTCTCTTTAGGTATGTAATGTATGTTACCTCTTCAAGAGAGCCTCCTGGAGCTGAAGATGAAGTCGGGTCCCATTTGGCAGTTTTCTTGCACATTTTTCTCCTTCAGAGTGCCCATAGCAACCCTACTTAACCAATACATCATTTTTGGCATAATGTTCCTACTGATTCACTTGCCCGTTTCCAGCATGCAGAATGCCGCTGGGCTCATGAGAAGTACCCAGTAACAGTCACTAAACAAGAACACACAGGTTTCTAATGATCTGGAGCATCAAAAATCCAGCCTCTGAGGCCAGTAAATTCTAGAAAAGAGTTGGGTATCCACATGGTATCTCTAAATGTCAGCCTGGTCACCTGGCAGCATAAGCAGCACCCTGAATCCCTGCTCTCCCGAAAATGTTTGTGATGTGAACAAATCCTCATGTATCTCTATGGATTGGACTTCTCTGCTGCCAAGTGACAAAGGCATTCAGTCATTTCCGGGATTGCTGAAAGATGACAGTCTCAGCAAAGAATCACCATGTGAATGTCATGCCAAAGGTACTGTGAGGACTGGGGACTGGTCTCAGGACCATAGCACTCCTGGTGGGACTCTGTATAGGCAGCGGCAGTCGGTGGGATTGCTTTTGAGAAGCCCAGAGTTGCTCCCTGCACAGTTAAATTAATGATGTAAGTTAATGACCTATCTGATGCGATTATATGCACCATGTTAGATTTTACAACTGGCTTCAGATGCCGTGTAATGAAATTTGAGTTTGTCAGTGAAAACTGTTCACTACACATAATACAGCCATTGTCCCATTTTACAAATTCAAGGTGATTGGATTAAGTTGAAATATTTCACTAGTCCATACAGTAGGGATTGCATCCGGCTGGGAAGACTTTCCACAGAGCTGAAGGTTTCCATTCCTGGATCATTGGGGGCAGACCAGCACATCATCCAGGCTTTAAAAGACCTTTAAAAGGTCTTTTGTGTTTGTTGGTTAATTGGTTGGTTGGTTGGTTCTCAGCATCACTAGAAACAGTAGAGAACTTGGGGCCTGTTGCCTCTCAGTTTGGGTATGAAAACCCTCGTTGATAAGTACTAGGTGGCCCCAAAAATGAAACATGATTAGAAAGAAGAAAATGGACATGTGAATGTCACCAAACCAGGACTCAGGTGCACGCTTGTTCCAGAGGAGTTTGGTGCTCTGTACAGAGTGGGGCTCGGTAAACAGTGCTTGGATGGTACACATCCCTGACTTCCAGAAGGGACGTCAGGGGGAATCCAGTCATTACAGGCATCTGGATTTCGCCTCAATTCTTCATTTTGCAAGACTGTCTCTTCTCTCTGAAAAAAGTTAGCACCCCTGCCCTTGCGTTTCCAGCAGGTGTGGCATATCGCCCAACAGCCTTTCCAGGTAGCATCTTCGCAGTGCTGAATCCGGTTCTTTGAAAGCTGGGCAGTCACAGGTTCCAAGAGAGTGATATGCTAAAGGTCGTACAATTTCTGGTCTCAGCAGTGGTTATGAATAATGATGCTTTTGAACAGTAATTCAGTGGCGATCAATAGCAACCATTAGAGTTGCAGCTGCTGAGTCCTCAACATGGCTTCTGTCATTGAGGGGAGAAGTTGTTGGCAGCCACTATTAGTAATCTGGCCATTAGTTTTTTGCGACTTTTTTGTCGCCTCCACCTTAACTTTTTATAGAAGACTGCTCAGATCATAGAAAGGAGAGATATTATAATAATAGCTGACCACTACTAGACCTGCTGAACAAGAAAATGTGAACAAGCTCACCTTCAATTCTGTTACTAAATGGTTTATAAGAACTCGATTTCAAATGGAATCCTTTTCATATTCCTTACATATTTGGGAGGGATTCGAGTTCATTGTAATCATTTCTCATGCTAAAGCTTGGAGAAGTGCAGGTAACAAGATCACCCCGGCTTTTGCTGGAACTCAGCCAGATGTAAACCAAAATCCTCAAAGATGAAAGACTTGTTTTGTTCCCAGGGTTTCTAAAACCAGTGTTTCTCCATTTTTAAAGATAAGAGGCAAGCTCTAGAGTGAAATAATTTTAAATGGTCAGTAACTGTGGCCAGACATGGGAGGGTTCAATGAGTAATGAAAACTAAATGGCTTTCCACATGATGGTCTTCTCTTCATGCTGAACTAGTTCCTGTGTCCTCCTCAGAAATAACTACCAATGGGGGGATTTTCAGAGAAACTAAATCTAATTCCTTCTGTATGTGCGTGCAGGGGTGGGGGGTTAGCATTCTTTAAACCCATTTCTCTGTTAAAGATGAAATTATAAAAATCTCAACACCAAAAAGATAAATAACCATTATTTTATGACCAAGTTACACTCTGAAAAAATCTCAGAGTATAAAACACTTGGAGCTGAGTATGATGACAAAGTCTGTATCAGAGCACTCAGGAGATAGAGGCGGAATTGGAATTTAGAAAGTGGCGTGAGAAAGACACCGCGCATGTGGAGGGGGGTTTCTTAGGGAAAGGGAAAGGGGAAGGAGACAGGGAGACCAATCTCTGGGGACAGAGAGAGAGACACAGAGAGAGACAGAGAGACAGAGACAGGGACAGAGACAGAGAGGGGGAGAGACAGAGAGACAGAGACACAGAGAGAGACATAGAGAGACACAGAGAGAAACAGAGACAGAGAGACAGAGAGGGGGAGAGACAGAGAGACAGAGAGACAGAGAGAGACACAGAGAGAGACAGAGAGACAGAGACAGGGACAGAGACAGAGAGGGAGAGAGAGACAGAGAGAAAGAGAGACAGAGACAGACAGAAAGACAGAGAGAGACAGAGACAGAGAGAGACAGAGAGACAGAGACAGAGATACAAAGAGACAAAGAGACAGAGATACAGAGAGAGATAGAGACAGACAGAGACAGAGAGACAGAGAGAGACAGAGAGAGAGGTGGGAGGTGGGCAGGGCCCTTTTAAAGAGAACGTAGTGAATGTGCACAGGTGGTGCTCTTAGTGGCTGCAGCTGAGGGCGTATCCTGTCCCACCTCAAGTGCAAGCCAGTAGACATGCCTGAATACCGACAGTGAGTTCCAGGCTAGTCCTGGCACAGAGGAAGATGGATCTCAGAAAACAAAACAATCCAAAGGGGGGGGGACACACCTAAGTGTTATGAAAATTGGTCATTGCTCTTGGGTTTCCATAGCAGCTTCCTTTCTTAGGGATTTAAACTCATTTACTCCCCTTGTATCACACATCCTCACTCCTGACAGGTTTGGGGCCTCTTATCTGACGTTATTGATTGACAGTAGTGCGGACAGGTCCTTCAAAGCCATGGTGACAGCGCTGGGGCCTGGTTCGCCCCTTGCAGTTTTCCACATTTACCGGGGTTTTCTTTGTTTTCATTCACAAT